GGGGCGGCGCCGGGCCGGGCGGTGGGCTCTGTCCGAGCACTTCGGCCGTGCTGGGACCAGTGCTCCCAGTAAGGGTGGCTCTTGGCGACACGCACGAGTAGGTGGAGACCGGATCCTCAGCGGTCGCTGCCTGAGGCCCCCGTTCGAGGGCCTGCTCCCTGATACTCCCACTTACGAATTTTTGTAGCACAGTAGTTCAGAATTTCGGGTTATTTGACGTGGCATGAGGTAATTAAGTCCCCACCTAGGCCTTTGTGCTTAGTAACACGACGAAAATCAGCAGGCTCAGCTTTTCAGCCTTGTGCAAATTGGTCTTGCTGACAGATGCCAGGGTGCAGCACTGCAGCACCCCAGTGTATGTGCTGATGCTGTATTCCCTCATGCCGAGAGGCTTTTCTGCCTTCCTGGAGACTGGACTGGCTGAAGCGAGAAACATGGGTGCTTCAGCACCAGGGAAATGATCGCAGCTGGAGACAGCAAAAGAATGTTTCAGCCCCCTGTATTGGTGCAAAAAAGGAAATACTGGTTAAGTTACATTTCCAGCTGTATAGGTTGAGCAGGGACTAAAGGGCCTTTGCTCTCTCATGTGAAATGTAAAGTTTGAAAGACCTGTAATTGCAGTCTGCTGATCTGCGAGATTGCCTTACCAGGCCAGACAGGTGGAAGGGGGAAAAGGGTTGTCTTTTTTATCTGCCATTAATTTCTGTCCATTGATGAGCACTGTAGAGCAACAGATATGATTCAGAATTACCTGAAAATAGATGTTAAGATCAAAATGAGTCTTGTCAAACAAACATTAAAAACCTTATTGTGTGGCAGTCTGCCAGTGTACTACCAGTCTAAAATTTTGATTTCAGAGTCTAGAAATAGTTCTGTTGTTCAGCAAATCCTGCTGTAGCCTTCAGCACAGGTGAGGATCTTGTGCCAGGAAGAATGGTACTGCTTTACAGACGTTCAGTAGATTTGGAAGAGGATTATTGGCAATGATCACACTTGTTCAAAGGATTCAACTCTTCATTTGCTGTATTCAAGCAATGTCTGGATGGCATAGAGGTTCAAAGTAAAGATGGTAATTGTTGGAGAGCTGGGTATCTGGTTTGATTTAATTCCTACTAAACATTGTGCACTGAAACATAAATTGAAGTAAAGAAAGGTTAGGTTGTTAAAAAATAAATGGAAGTGGAGTTTTTTCCTATTAAATTGATTATTGTCAATGGATGGGAGATTTTTCTTATTGGGCTACTGAAATAAGCGCCGATAAAAGTTTTGTATTCTGTATTGCTGAAAAAATGGTGATGCCATATGATATCAAACCCAGTGCAGTCAGTGTATCATGGAAAACAAACAAAAAAACCCCTGAGAGGTTCCTCTTATCATTACAAAGGGCTGAATTTGTTTCAGCTTCTGCTAAAAATCTCTTAAATGGAATACCAGGCCATACTGGAACACCAGGCCACGTCTCCACTTTTCTTCTTGTAGGTGGGGAACTACTTGCGTATGTTTCGGGGTTCCCTGTACAAGAGATATCCCTCGCTCTGGAGGCGACTAGCCACAGTGGAAGAAAGGAAGAAGATAGTGGCCTCTTCACATGGTGAGAAATTGAGCAAACATTCCCAGTAATCCTTATCTGAAATCTGAAATTTTGCCTTGAGAAACTGTCTCTGGCAGTGGAGAAGCTTGTGCACCTTTAGGGCTGGACAAATCACTTCCGATTGCCCCAGTGACGGAGCGCTCTGCAGTGGTGGCACTGGTGGCTCCTGGTTCCATCTGGCAACAAACATCAACTGATCAAAAATGTTCTAAAATTGAAACATCCATCATGGCTTTCCTGGGGTTGGCTGCATTCATCACAAAGCAAAAGCCACATCTCAAAATCAATACCATATTCCAGAAGAGACTTCTGTAGACAAAGAGGGGTGGGTTTGTCTCTTTTGTCAAATAGGCAGGAATGTTGCAAGGATGCCCCACTGAAAATGTGCATCTTTGCTTAGCTTTGCTTCTTGCAGGGACTGAATTTTTATGCCTCCCAGAATTTGTTGTGGTGTGTTGCTACTGATGTGACTGCCACAGTGAGAATATAGCTGCCTCAGTATTCTTTTTGGTGGGAGACGAATAACAAGCAGTTAAATTTCTTAGCAATATGACCTGTTGTACTCTTTAGACTAAAGCATAATAAAAATAAATGGTTCATTCTAGACTTATGTCTCCTTCCTCCAAGTATCCTGCTGACCTGTTGCTTTCTTTTCTTTTTTTTTTTTTTTTCCCTCAATAGAAAATCAGCGGTCTCACAGTCCCAGAAGATGTAAGTCTTATCTGTGTGTTATTCGTAGCTGTGCTAGAGGAAGAATCTCCACTGTGACCTTTGGTGTTAACTACAATATATATTAATGTCTAATCCTCTGATCTCTCACTGCGGTCGCCCTAATGGTGCATCCTGATCACATGCTTAACTCTTCTTCCTCAGAATGTTAGTGGGAATGTCGAAGGCAGATGGTCTCTGTAATTTGGCAAGAGCTGTCCTGAGGTTTCTCCCTCTTTCCCAAGTCTTATCAGGTTTTCTGTTGATCATTGCCTCTCTATTTCCAACCGTTAAGGCCACTGAGGATGTATTGTTTTCTGGGTTTTTCCTCCCAGAAGGCTGTGGAAGAGATTTCACATCATTTTGGCAGATGTAGGTGAGCAGAGCTAAACCATGTGATTGCAAAGGGCAATTTGGGGTGGGAAAGAATTGTTTTTCTCTTCCTTTTCTTAAGTAGAAGCGCATTAAAGTTTATGTAATAATTATGAGGATTTAAGGACTTTTTTTTTCTGAAGTTTTGTTTTTGTAGCATTCACTTCCATCTTTGGTCATTTCTGTTATGAAATTTACTTGAATCTATAAATAAGTTGCACCCTGAAAGAATGAGGTTCATCCAGTGGTAGTACCTGAGGGAAGCTCATGTAATGAAGCTCTTTTCAGTGGTGTCAAGCAACAGGACAAGGGGCAATGGGCACAAATTGAAGCACAGGAAGTTCCAGCTGAATGTGAGGAAGAACTTCTTCACTCTGAGGATGACGCAGCACTGGAACAGGCTGCCCAGAGAGGTGGTGGATTCTCCTTCTCTGGAGATACTCAAAACCGGCCTGGATGAAGTCCTGCGCAGCCTGCTCTGGGTGACCCTGCTTCGGCAGGGGGGTTGGACTAAATGATCCACAGAGGTCCCTTCCAACCTGTGATTCTGTGATTCTAACCCTCCCTGTGTCTTGACTCCTAGTCCAAATGAAAGATGTTTTTAGTAGAGTACGAACAGGATAGCTATACAGTGTAAAGAGATACTGATGCCTTTTGCAAATCTTGGCTCTGTCACTATGCAGCTATTCCAAGGTGTCATACTGCTTTTGTCTTTCAAATTGTACTTCTTCTCTGGGCTTTGTGGTGGGGATTGCTATGTATCAACTAAGGCATTGCATCCCAGGGCCATGAAGATGATCAGAGGGCTGGAGCACCGCTGCTCTGAGGACAGGCTGAGAGAGTTGGGGCTGTTCAGCCTGGAGAAGGCTGCAGGGAGACCTTATTGCAGCCTTTCAGTACCAGAAGGGGGCCTATAGGAAAGATGGGGAAAATATTTTCAGCAGGGCTTGTTGCCATAGGACAAAGAGCAATGGCTTTAAACTAAGGGAGGCTAGATTTAGATTGGATATAAAGAAGAAATTTTTTACCATAAGGGTGGTGAAA